ACTATATATATATATATATATATATATATATATATATATATATATAATTCAATTTTTTTTCTAAACCCAAAACCAAATAAAAAACCAAACAAAGTAAGTTAAAAATTCAAAATCGAACCAAGAATTCAAAAAACCAATCAAAATTAAAATTCAGTTTGAGGTTTGGTTTTTCGGTTTAATCCAAATAGTGCATACTCCTAGTTGTACATATTCTTAATTTATAACTCAGCTTATATAAGTTGAGGAAAAATTACTTGGAATTGATATTTTTTAATAAATAATTATTGATTTTAGTGATATTTTTTATTTATTACCATTTATATCAACACTATGTTAAATCTGCAATATCCATTAAAAGTGAATTATGTATGCAATAAATATGTATTACAATTGTTTTTAAAAATATGATGTGTTTGTTTTGTAAGAAATTGACACATTATTATTATAAAATGTATTAAGATTGTGATAAATGTATTAATCATTAATAAAGTTTATATTATAATATGTATTTAACTATATTTTAAATGTATTAAAAGTGATAAAGTGAAAAAAAATTATTATTACTATAAATGATAAATATTTTCTTAATATAGAATATTTATGTAAGTATCTTTAAATTTGATCATTCAAATGGAATATATAAGATAATTTATTGTAAATGAAGTTAGGTAACTGATGAAAATTAATAATTATTTATTTTGGAGGTGAAAAGCCTTAAACTATGAAATGTATTCTTTTCAACTAACAACTTAAAAGTATGAATGGTTAGCAGAAAGTGAAAAGTTCTTCCCACATAATAATAATAATAATAATAATTAATAATAATAATAATTAAAGTGCAAATGCACAATGTAATCAATCTAATGCAAAGCAAAAAAAAAACAAAGTGCAGTTTGTTGGGGACCTATGTAAACACAATTATTGTGTAATTAAATATTAGTATTTAATAAATTAATTAATTTTATTTTAATTTAGTAGAGGGGTAGAGTAGTAATATATATATTATAGAGAGGAGAGAAATTATAGATAATAAATATCATTAAATTAGATAGTTGATTAGGAATTAATCTAAGAAATTCTAAAAACAAAAAATTAAAGTGTAGTTGTGAATTTTCATATTTCATCACTATGTAATTAAAATATGTAGAATGGCGTGTGTATATATATAGAGAGATTGTCGATGATAAATGTTAGTAATATATATAATTACATGGAAAACATAAAAATTTTCTATATTGATATAATTTGTTGAAATTTTAAAAATATGGTATAGGTTTAATAATTTTATTAATTCACTCAATAAAAAAATCTTGAAAATTTTATAAATAAACGTTACAAAGAACAATCATTGTAAGGGTAATATAGAAACAATAATTAATGTTTTTTCGATTTAGTTAGGTGAATAAATGTTTCTAATAAAATAATTAACTAATATAGGATGGAGAAAATGTTAATATCAAAGATTTAAAAATGCCTTCTGTTTTTATTGTGTTCAATTTTTAAAAGACATTTATTAAAATGAAACAATTTAGTCAATTAAATATTATATTTATTATTTTCTTAATAAACGTAACGTTTTATTAAGATATATTTTATTTTAGAACGAGTGAAATAGTTTTATGATATATACTATCTCTTTTGAAATTGTATCACATAATTGTGATTTCTGAAGATTCACTAGCATATGAAAAAGAGTTAATATCACAAATGGTCACTCAACTATGACATTTTTTCTCAGAAAGTCACTCAACTTATAATTTTAACTCAAAAGTCATTCAACTATGCACTTCTTTCTCCAAAAGTCACTAAACTTTGAATTTTAAATAAAAAGTCACTTAACTATTCACTTTCTCTCAGAAAGTCACTCAATCTATTTATATTTTTAAATTAAAATTTATTGATATTAATTATTTATAACAATCAAAAAAAATTTAAAATAAAAAAAAATCATTTAGTGATCCATCCACCTAAACCGACCTATTAAAAAATCTAATATGATCCTTTTTTTTTTGCCCTTAATCCTAAATCTAATAGGAGAAAGAGAGGGAATAATTTAGGATTAAGGGCAAAAAAAAGGGTAATATTATACTTTTTTTAATAGGTTAAGTTAGGTGGGTGGATCACTAAATGATTTAAATTATATTTTTATTTTAAAAAAAAATTAGTTTGTTATGTAAATAATTAATATCAGCAAATTCTAATTACAAAATAATTAAATAGATCGAGTGACTTTCTGAGAAGAGTGAATATTGAGTTAAAATTCAAAGTAAAGTGACTTTTTGAGAGAGAGAAATGCATAGTTGAATGACTATTGAGTTAAAATTGAAAGTTAAGTAACTCTCTGAGAAACAAGTACATAATCGATTGATCATATGAGGTATTAACTCTAATAAAACATGATAAGAGTGCATAATTCAATATATTGAGATGTAAACATAGACTAATGTCTTGTAGATTTCAATAACATAACATAAACTATATATGGCTAATGCCTTGAAGTACAACTTTTTTAAAAAATATACTAGTACTAGTTATTTTCGTAAGAAATTGACACATTGTTATTATAAATGTATTAAAATGTGTGATAAAATATTGTAATATGTATTTAATTGTATTATAAATGTATTAAAAGTTATCAAGTGAAAAAAATAATATTGTTACTATAAATAATAAATATTTTTTTTAATATAATATATTTACATAAGTTTTACTAAGTTGATCATCAAGCATTAAACTATGAAAAATATTCTTTTCAACTAACAACTTAAAGTAAAAAATGATTAGAAGAAAGTGAAAAGTTCTTTCCATTAAATAGTATATAATAACAATAAAAAAAATTAAAGTGCAGACACACACAATTTAATTAATCTAATGCAAAGCTAAAAAAACAAAGTGCAGTTCGTTGGGGATCTATGTAAACACACACACTATATAATTAATCCAACGAAGACTA